TGAAGGACTCAGATCTTTAATCTTGTATTGCGGATTGTGTATAAATCTCTGGGTGCTTCTACAGCTTTCAGGTGTGAATGGAGAAAAGGCCATCAGGTCTCCAGTGTCCCTCAAACATGGAGAGTTTTGCTGTTTTGGGGGGTTTGGTCCAGCAGAGGTGGGAAAATAGTGGAGTAAAACTTTGTTACTGTACTTAAGTACATCTTTCTGGTATCAGTACTTTACTCCACTACTTATTCTTCTGACAACTTTTTACTTTGACATTTTTGAACTCAAATACCTGTACTTTCTACTTCTCTCATTTTCCAAACCGGCTGGTTCCTTTAGTCTGAGTGTGTGTTTGGTGGCGTGATCATTATTATTTAGAGTCATTGCGTGCCTATTGATTTGAACACGATCCGTGTATCCATCATTTCCTGGTCTTCTCTAAAGAAGAGGGACCAATGAAAACGTTGTCATGTTGCCGTTGTTCAGCATGGAAACATTCATTAGCTAACAATGACATTATTGTTCTATTAATATAAAGGGAAGTCAGGTACTCTTTAAAACAGCTGCTAGTTATGGGTACTTTTTACTGAAGTACATTTCAAAGCCTCTTTACTTTTACTTGAGTAAAGAAGTTTAGTCAGTACTTCTACTTTCACCAGAGTATTTTTAAACATGAGTATCTGTACTTCTACTTGAGTAAAGGATGTGTGTACTTTTTCCATCTCTGTCCGTGAAGCTTCCCTCTGTCTCCTCAGGACGGCTCTCTGGAGCGCCTCAGCTCGGCGGACTTCGTGCTGCTCTCTCAGACGGTGGAGGGGTTCGTGCGGGACACGGAGGATCTGAGCGGGCGGAGGAGCGCCTCGCTGCGGGGGGCGCTGCAGAGCCAGGCCAACCGCTTCGTGCACCGCTTCCACGAGGAGCGCAAGACCAAACTCAGGTTAGCAGAAACACAGACGGGAAGATTACAGCACACAGGAGAGAGTATGATTTACAACCTCGGCTTTCATAAACTACCGACAAAGAAAACAGTTACCACGTTTTTATAAAGGTCACCTATTATCCAAAATGCACCTTTTGATGTCTTGTAAACATAAATACGTGTCCCCGGTGTGTCAGAGAACTCACAAAGTGAATTACTGTACGATGAGTGTTTTATAATGCCATTTTATAGCAGGTTTCTGCTGCACTGTCTCTTAATGTAAAGCACTTTGAAAGGTATAAATAAACTTCCTTGCCTACGACTACTGACAAAAAAAACTGTCTTCACATTTTTTAAATAACACATTTACGTGAAATAATACTCTAAAAATGAACAGTTTTCAGCATTATAAGCATTATAAGTTACCTTCGTCTCACATATATATATATTTATATAAATATATACAATTTCAGATTCAAACAAGTATGAGAGCACTCTCATAATAGCGTAACACAATCAGAGACTAATAATATCCAGGGGATGCATGCAGAGCTGTCATTGGCTGAGATCAGTCCGGCCGTGCGTCACGACTCTTTGAAACATCTCTGTTGCCGGAAATACATCCACGGAGGAGCCGTCAGTGTCTCCTCGGTTAGAGCTCCTCCAGAGAGCCTCCTCCAGAGAGCCTCCTCCAGAGAGCCTCCTCCAGAGAGCCTCCCCCAGAGAGCCTCCCCCAGAGAGCCTCCCCCAGAGAGCCTCCCCCAGAGAGCCTCCCCCAGAGAGCCTCCCCCAGAGAGCCTCCTTGATCCTCGGTCCTCGATGTGCATTTAGAGAAATGAGATGTCCTTCAACACGGCGCGCTGAAATCCATTTCCGGGTCACTACCGGAGGACCGTGGAGTCGAGGAGGGGGAATGAGTGAAATGAGAAAGGGCCCAGGTGTTTGATGTCTGTTGTTTGTTGTTTGATGTTGTTTGTTGTTGTTTTGCAGCCTCCTCCTGGATAACGAGCGCTGGAAGCAGGCGGAGGTTCCCGCTGAGTTCCAGGATCTGGTGAACTCCATCGCTGACGGAAGAATAACTCTACCGGAGCGCAAAATCCCAGGTACACGAAACCCCCCAAACTTCAGCTCCCTACCCCCCCCTCTGCTTCTGCTTATTGCTATACAAGAAGAAAACTGGTGCTACATGTGACCAGTGAAGACTATACACTTGACTGGGTGCTTGTTCTCAAATAGACTCTGAATGAAAAGACCCAGAAGATGTCTGGACTGAGATACATGTTTAATAAAATGTCTTCAGTGTGGAACAATGAACCTCTGACTTTGACGTTAGATGGGAAACATGTTATCAATAACCTAATCAATCATTGTTGATCAGCTAAGAGATGTCACTTCTCAGATCAACCAGTATTGTATAAATGTAAGTATCATTATGTTCTGTGTGCAGGCACAGAGGACAGGAAGCCCACAGAGTTTCTGTTCGTCAACGGGCAGAAATACGCCGTCGTCGGGTTCGTGATCACAGCAGCGTTCATGTTTCATAACTTCAAACTAATCGTACAATCCTCGTCTTAAACGATTACCTGGAATGAAAGTCTGAGATATTGACATACGATGTGAACTGTTGCAACAGGACGGTGCTGCTGCTGATCCGGATCTTTCTGGAATACTGTCAGTGTGTCAACGACATCCCATCCATCGCCACCGACATGCTGACCCGTCTGTCCGACCTCCTCAAGGTCAGAGCCTCCTCAACATTTCATTCATTCCTTATTTAAAAGTTAAACTACTGTATATCATTTTAATGAATTGATATATTCATTGTATCCATCTTATCTTTAGTTGTATTTTTATTTATAAAAGCGATGTGTCCTGGCCTGTAGCAGCTGCACACCGTTAGCTTAGCATCGTGTTTTAAAAGCATTTCTTCTTCTGTGGTTTCTGCAGCACTTCAACTCTCGGAGCTGCCAGCTGGTTCTGGGAGCCGGAGCTCTGCAGGTCGTCGGCCTGAAGACCATCACCACCAAAAACCTCGGTACGCACACGCACACGCACACGCACACGCACACGCACACGCACACGCACACGCACACGCACACGCACACGCACACACACACACACACACTCTTGCACAAGCACACAGTGTTTAT